GTCTGCTAGAGAAACTGGGGCTTTGGTGTCCCCTTGTAGGGCCAGTGACGCCTGCTGCCTGGCACGTGAGCCCATATTACCTGTGCTTCAATTTTCCCAACTCCTACCCCAGACTCGAGCCCGTTTCTTCCAAGTACACGTGCAATGCCAGCCGCTGCCACCCCACCTGCCTGTGCCATCCCACCGCTTCTCATGAGCCACCTCAACCCTGGCAGCAATGGGAGGGTCTGTTGAGGGACTTTGTTCCTCCATGGGGGGACTAGGGGAGCTGGGCTGGCTGGGAGCCCTCCCACCTCGGTGGTCTGAAGGCGTCCCTGGTGGCCGGCACCTGCAGCTGCACATGGAGCTGTCTTGCCCGCTGTCTCCATGCCAGTGTCCCCGCAGGGTCTTTCTCGCCCTCTGGTCCCAATGACCCTTCCCTTGCTGGCAGACCCGGGCTCCTCCACGCCCCTGACCCCGTCCCTCTCTGTGCTTCTCAACCCTTCTCTTAAGGTCTCTGTTGACAGCACAGCGCCCTCTCTCATTCCTTCCCTTCCTCTTACGTTTCATCACACACAGCAAGTGTCTGCATGTGGGAGGTTCTGCGTGACATCCCGCCACGCGTGTGTGTGGCGATCGGAACAGGCTCATCCCGTCCCCCCTCCCCACAGACAAGGTTCACCCTGGGGCCAGCAAGGTGGAACAACAGGTAAAGCCCCACCTGCGTGCTGGCATCCCAAACGAATGATGATTCAAGTCCCGCTGCTCCACTTCCAATCACGCTCCCTGCTAATGCTCTTGGAAGAACCGCAGAGGGTGGCTCTGCATCCGTGTGGGAGACCCAGAAGAAACTCCTGGCTTTGGCCAATGCATCCATTTAGGGAATGAACCAGAAGATGGAAGACTCTCCACCGTCCCACCCCGTCGCTCTAACTTTGGAAAAGATGCGTGTCGTTTGTTTGCATGAGGAACTTGCAGGGTCTGTGCTGGCGTTGTGGGGCGGCTTTGGCCGGGGAGCTAGGACACCGCAGGTGACACCTGCTGGACTTGCCATCATCTCCACCTTCCAGCTGTTGCATCCCTCACAGGCAATGGCTCCAGTCCTTGCGCCCCTGCCATCCGTGGGAGACTCGTGGAGGGCGCTCAAGGATCCTGCCTTGAGCCTGGTCCAGCCCCAGGCTGCCGTGGACACTGGGGGAGTGAATCTGGGTGGGCATTGTCTTCCTCACCAATAAGCACGTGGCCACAGGCAGCCCACACATCCTGGCTGCTAGGACCTCACTGTGCCAGAGGGGGGCACCACCGTCTGTCCTCTCTCACTGCATCCCTGGGCGTGCTGACTACCCACGCCCTCCGCCCCAGCCTTGGGCAGCCTCATGCCCAGCTCCCTCTCTGCCCCCAGCTTCTCAGCTTGTCCGTTCTGCAAGATTCCCAGCGCAGCTGCCCCTGGGCGGGCTATGGGCACTGGGCCCGAAAAGCTGCCATGCCAGGGGAACAGATAGGTCCTGTGCCACCTCCTCCTTCCCTGGGGGCCTGGACTGCTTCCTCCTACAGCTTCTACCAAGGTTTGGGGCTGACGCCCACGTCTGGGCCCGTCGACACGGGCAAAGAACCAGCATAGCAGGGAGCTCCAGCCCCTGCCCCCTGACACCTGCCTTGCCCTGCCCAGCCACCTCGGTCTTCCTTGGGCCACCATCCCAGCTGAATCCCACAATGGCCAGGGGGCTGTAGGGAAGGAGGCCTCAGGGGACGGGGGGCAAAAGGGGAAGGAAGTTGCAGAGAAGACACAGAGAAGTTTGAAAACAGTGTAGGGCTGCCAGGGCTTGGGAACCTCGCACAAAGCCAGAGAACGGCGGGTGTGGGGGTGGTTTGGGAGGCAGGCAGGTGTCTGGAGATCAGAGTCCAGAGGGGCTAGGGATGACGGAGGCCCTCTCTGCCACCTCACACCCGCCAAAGGCAGGGTGGGGTGGGAAGAGAGGCAGATAGAGCAGGAGGGGCTGATCAAGACCCAGAGGACAAAAGGGTTGGGGAGGGACAGAAAGGATGACAAAGGGAGAGGGTGCCCAAGGTGCAAGGGGCCCGCCCCGTCCCCACCCCCAGACACCAGGCTGGGTCCCTGCGCAGGGCCAGGGCCAAGGCTGTGCATACTCAGGGTGATACGAGGGAGGAGCTGGCCAGCACGGTGACCCCCAAGCAGGGCTAAGGACGCCTTGATGGACAGCGTGAGGGCGGGGTGGAGGGGATGCGAAGATAAATCCTCACTACCTGGGGTTTCAGCCCAGCCAGTCACGGGGTCTCTCTCTCCTCCCCATCCAGCAACCCAGAGGAGACTGAGAAAGCCTTGCGGCTTGGGGAGGAAAGAGGGCTGCTGAGAGAGGGAAACTGAGGCAGGAGCTGGTGGGAAAGAGAGAGGAGACAGGGTCTGGGGGCTGGCTCTGAGTGGGCCTCAGCCCCCTTGGACTGCAGGTCCCACCGCCTCACAGCTGCCTGAACACCAGAGGGGAGCATCCAGCCTGGCCTGCCCTCCACCTCCCTGCAGTACAGTAGGGCCAGGGTGGGAAGGCACACTCCCACCCCCTGGGATAGATCTGCAGGTAGAAGCCCCCAGCTAGGTGACACCCCCCCACACACACACACACTCACTCATCTCTGGAGACCTCCACCTGCAGCATCGCCTGGAGCAGAGGGTCCAGGTCCCACGGAAGGGAGGAGAAGGACGGAGATCAGAGAGAGAGACAGAGATGCCGGGAGCCCCTGCCCCAGGCCTGTGCCTTCCCACACCTTGGAACTGTTCCCTCCAGGACACCTCCTCATTTCCACAATTAAAACAGTTCCCAAGCCCAGCTGTCTACTGGTTCCTGGGGGCCATGGCTCCTGCCCGTGACTCCCAGGGCACCCTCATCAGCTGGGGCCGTGCTCAGGTGCATGGGGACAGGCATGGTCATTTTCACTCGCAGTCCTGGCCCGACCTGACTTCTCCCCCTGCAAACTGCAGCTGCGACGGGCAGGTGGTGATGGAAAAATGTTGCATGTTTAATTAAAAAGTGATTTTCATTAATTTTGTGCTCCAAAGGCCCTAGCCAGGGACGACGCGGGGATGGGAGGCTGGCCTTAAAGGACCAGCATTCCTGGTAGGGCATTTCTGTGTAGGGCAGGAGAGTGGGGGATCAGAGACTGGGCCCTCACACCAGGGGGAAACTGAGGCTCAGAAATGGCCTGCCAAGCGGGTGGGTCCAGAGCTGGATGCTCAGGGTGGCTTCTCGCCACAGAGGAGGCCAGCAGAAGTTGTGTGCAGGAGGTTGGGAAGAGGGGAGAAGAAATGGGTACCCTCTCCCTCCTGCCTGCCCTGCCCTCTGATGCACTCCCTTGGGAAGTGTGGGGGCTATCCTGACCCCCCAGAGTTACAGCTGCCTCCTGCTCAGTGCTGGGTGTCTCTTCCTTCCCGTGGGACCTGGGGGGGGGGGGGTGCCGCTGGACCCACAGTGCAGCCGATTAGGGCCCCTGGGAGAGCTGGGGGCGTTGTCCCCCCTCCCTCTCTCAGGGTCTTCCCCCACCCCCCATCTCTATCCCTCTCTCTCTGGGTCTCTGGAGTACCCCCAGGTGCTGTGTCCCAGCCCCTCTCCACCGCTGCCCCTCCACCCCCGTCTCTGGTGCCAGTCCTCTGAAGAGGACCCCCCACAAACCCACAGCTGCCGCCCAGGGAGGAAAGCCCACGGCTGTGGCTGTGGGAGCTCTCCCACCTGCACAGCCCTGGGAGGCGGCCTGAGGCCACGGGGCCGGCTGGAAACCACGGCTCCCACTCTGCCTGCCCACAGCGGCCATGCCGCAGCCAGCAGTTGCACCTTCCTCGCCCAGGCTTCGCCATGTCTGAGGGTCGCTGGGCCGCCTGGGCGCATTACCTACCGCCCTTACCCCTCCACGCACACAGCACCTGCCACCCCAGGAGCCACTCACACCTGTGCCCTTTGCGACTTCACACTTCCCAGGAGAGCGTGGGCTCCATGAGGTCAACTCGGTGAGTCACGGCGCCCGGGCAAACACCCTCCTTTCCCTTCTTAGCCTGTGAATCCGGCAGATAAAAGCCACGGGGCTTTCTTGCTGCGAAGGATGAGCCAGGGTCGAGACGCACCCGCTGCGCGTGGGTGGGTGAGACCCCGAGTCGAGGACCTCCCAGAAGGCAGTGGCCAAAGAGGGGGCGGAGGGGCCCGGGGGCACACGCACCCGCGGGCACACGCACAGCCGCAGGCGCCCACGGAAACGCACGCACACCTGCCCCCTGCAAGAGTGGCCAGCCGGCATTGTCTCTGAGGGAGGATGGTGGCGGGGAGGGGTCGGAAAGGGCAGAAAGAGACCTCCCCTCTTCTCCCCTCCATGTGGGCGCCCGGATCCTTCTCGCCTCCAGTTCGGCCTTCCCGCGGAGACGGAGGCCGAGGGACAAGGCCAGGGCCCGGGGAGGGACGCCCGTCAGAGGCGCGAAGGGCGGGAGCCTCCCGGGCGCGGTACAAAGCCGGGCGGGAGCGAGCGGGCCCCGCAGCACCGCCCCGCCCCGCGCCGGCCGACAGCGGGTTAAGCGGCGGGGCCGGGAACTTCCGGATGTGACCGCAACGCCGGGGAGATCGCGAGGGGCGCGCGGCTGCAGCGCCGCACCCCCGGCCCCCTCCCCGGCCCCCGGCCCCCGGCCCCCGGCCCGGCCCTGCGCCCGCCGCCGTCGCCCGCTCGGCCCGACTCGGGGCGCTCCCGGCCCCCCGGGGGGCCAGGGACTGGGGTCGGGGTGGGGGGCCGGGGAGGGGCCTGGGCGCCTCTGGCCCGCCGGTGCGGCGCGCGCCGCGGCCATGCGCCCCTGGCCGTGACCCCCACCCCCCCGGGGAGGGGCTGGGGTCCCGGCTCCGAGCCCCCGCCCTGCCCGGCTCCGGCCTCCTGTCCAGCCCGCGGCGGCGCGGGCCTCGGGGGCCGCTGCTCCGGCTGCGCGCTCCCCAGCGCCAGGCTCTGGAAGGACCCGGCGGCGGCGGCCGCGGCAGCCCATGGCCCGGAGGGTAGGTCCCAGGGCGCCCGCCCGCGCGTCCCCGCCCGCCGCCATCGCGCCCTGGCCGCCGGTCCTTTCTCTGCCTCCCCTCCCAGGATCGCGACCCCCTTGTCCGTCCGTCCGTCCTGCGGGGTCTCCCCGGGTGTGAGTCCCTGCCCCATCGCCCCCTCCCTGTCCCCTCAGGGCCCTTGGGTCCCCCTCGCCCCACCCCCATCTCAGTCTCTTTATCCTCACCGCCCTCCCCCAGCCTCTCTCTGCTGGAGCTCCGAGGCCACCCTGGACAGGGATGGGGACAGCGTGGGGAGCCGCGGGTCTCCCCAGCCTGCGGGACCAGGGCCTGGGGGCTGGAAGGCATCGCCAGGAGATGATGGGTGGGGAGGACAGAGGCAGGAAGTGAGGACCCCACTGCCCACTTGGGTTCAACTCCTAACTTCTCTTGGGCCCCAAAGTTGAGACAGAGGCAGGTGCCGGGCTGAGAGCTGAGAGTATGGCTGTGGTGGGGCCAACCCCACGAGGGGGGCAGGAAGCCTGTGCCCCTCTTTGGAGTCCCTGTGTCCTGGAGACTGGATGCCCCCACCCTGCCACCTGGCTGTGGGACTGTGAGCTCAGGGCCCGCGATGCCAGCCCTACCTGTGCTTTTTTGGCACACGTGTATATTGTGTTAGTGGGTGCATACCTTTGGACGCACATGTGGGGGGATTGTCTGTTTCTGTGCCCCAGGCTCCATGTCTTACACACTCATTCCCTCATCCTTCCTTCCTGTGGGTGGAGGACAAGGTGGGGGCACCCAAAGCCTGCAGATGGTTCCACGTCCCCCATCCTGACATTTTTCTCAGTGCCACCAGCCAGCTCTGTGCTTGGGGTCCAGAGGAGAGGGTTGCTAGGGCACGGGGGAATCTGAGGGCAGGGGAGGCTGCTGGGCCAGGCGGAGCTGCCTGCCTCCTCGCCATTCTGTTGCGTGGGCTTATCTCTCCCCAGTACAATGAGCTGCCCCACTACCCACACATCCCAGATGGCTTCCCGGAGGTGGCGCCCTCAGCAGCCAGGCCTCCCGGGCCATATGGCCCCCACGGGCACCCCCGGCTCCTGTCCCCAGGCCTGGACAGCACCAGCCTGAAGAGGGACAAAGACGAGATCTACGGGTGAGTAGGAGGCACCCTCGGCCTAGCCGTGGTGGTCTCTCCCACGCCACGACCCCCGCCTCTCTGAATCACCCCCCCAACCAACCGTCCACCAACCCCAGACACCCACTCTTCCCGCTGCTGGCCCTGGTCTTTGAGAAATGTGAACTGGCTACGTGCTCGCCTCGCCATGGGACGGCCTCAGGACCAGGCACGCCCCTGGGCAGCGACAGCGACGTCTGCTCCTCCGGCTCTTTCAATGAGGACATCGCTGCCTTCGCCAAGCAGGTGGGTGCGACTGCCTGGGCATCCGGTGAGGAGGACGCAGGGGGTGACCGTGTGCCCTGCCCGCCTCTGTCTCCCCACCAGGTCCGCTCCGAGAGGCCCATCTTCTCCTCCAACCCGGAGCTGGACAACCTGGTGAGAGCGGACTCTACCCCGGCTCCACCCCTACCCTGGGGTGCACAGAGGGGGAACACTGGCCCTCAGGGATGCTGTAGAGCCCAGCCCCTCCCCGTGCCAGGGGGTAGGGGAGACCCTCCGGCGTCTCCCCTTTTCCTACCAAGGGTTGTCTGGAACCAAGCCTTTCAGCCAAGGATTATGGGGAAAGGTGGCTGCGGGGGAAGTGGAGCTGTTGGCCAGCAGGTATGGGCAGGGGGCTCACTGCCCCAGCATCTGCCTCTCACGGACCCCTCCTCTGTCGCTCTTTGTGGCCCTGTCCTTGTCGCCGTCCCCACCTGTCTCAGATGATCCAGGCCATCCAAGTGCTGCGGTTCCACCTGCTGGAGCTGGAGAAGGTGAGTGCCACCCCCTCGCTCTTGCAGACCCTGCGCCCTGTTCGGGCTCCCCGCCACATGTCCCTGCACACCCCGGCTCTGGGTGCCCCCCCAGTACCCCGGTGCCCCCCCAGGTCCACGACCTGTGCGACAACTTCTGTCACCGCTACATCACCTGCCTCAAGGGGAAGATGCCCATCGACTTGGTCATCGAGGATCGGGACAGCGGCTACAGGGACGAGCTGGAGGACTACCCGGCCCCCTGCCCCAGCCTCTCAGAGCAGGTGGGCCGGACAGGAGGGCCACTCACAGCATCCCAGCCATGGCTGGGCTAGAGCCAGGCCTGCTCCCTGGCTCCAATGCCAGGGGCTGGGCAGGGGTCGGGGCAGCCTGGGCAGGGGTCGGGGGCAGCCTGGGCAGCGGTCAGGGGCAGCCTGGGCAGGGGTGTGGGCAGCCTGGGCAGGGGTCGGGGCAGCCTGGGCAGGGGTCGGGGCAGCCTGAGCTGGGGTGGGGGCAGCCTGGGTGTATTTTCCTCTGCTCACGAAGCCACTGCTGCCACCATGGGCTCCAGCTACCGGCCTGGTTGAGCCTGTGAATTGGGGGGTGGGGCCTCCAGTTTAGTGAGTTTCGATGATTTAATCCCATCATGATGCAGCCTGCCATGCAAACCCCGAGGTAGTGTAGGGGGAGAAGCAGACTGGCCACAGCACATGCACACACACACACACACACACTTATCCCAGAGCAGGCTGGACCCCGCTGTACAGTCAGACCCATGGCACCTGCCCAGCTAAGACCGAGCAGCACACAGGGGCTGCCGCTGCTCCCGGCCACCCACAGAGAGAAGGCACCACAGGAGGGCCACCTTGGGCAGTCACACACCGTGCACATGCCCCAAACTGCACCTGCATGGGGGGTGGGCAGATCTTCCTCATGGTTAGATGCAGGGGTCCAGGCCGACAAACAGGATGGTCAGCTCCTGCCCGCTATAGCCCTACTTAGCCCAGGCTGGCCCACAGCAGAAATAAACACAGCATACTCAAATGCCTCCTCTCCATCCCTAACCCCCCCATCCCATTCGGGGGCACAGAGAGGTCAGGGGCCTGACCTGAGACCTCACAGCCAGAAATGAGATGGCAGTGAGCGTCCCAGGCCGTGGGGGTCCCCAGATGGGCCACTGCTTCCTGCCTTTGTAGAAGCCAGATCCCCAGATTTGTAAACACGGGGCTGCCATCTGTGCCATACCTGGTGGGCATTCCCTTGCCTGCACCCCACCAGCCTGGCATCGAACAGTCCCTGCACATGGCTTCTACACAGGTAGGTAGGCTCCCAGGCTGGGCAGTCCTGGGCACGCAGTCACCAGGAGCAGAGGGGCACCAGGGGCCTGTGGAGTCCAAAGTGGATGCCGAGTAGCAATTGGCAGCTCAGAGGGGAGCAGGGGGCCAGCTGAAGTGGCTTTAGCAGGAGGACTTGACCGCTGAGGGAGGCCGCCCCCTGTTGCAGTTCAGCCTCTCGTGCACAGAGCTGGGGTTCACCCCATGCACCAGGCACCTTAGCATGCTCATGTGGGGAGACGGCCACACCCCTCTGTCTCCCATTCTGGGACCCCAGGGTCTCTGGGAACACATGTGGCCGGTTCCTTCTCCTGCTCCTCTCCCCATAACTTTACTGCCAACCCGTGCGGCAGCAAGTGGCCGCAGGCCTCAGTGCTCACTGCCACTTCCTGCTGTCTAGACAAACGCGTGGATCCATGATCCAGAGGACGGTGGGTCTGAGCAGCTGGGGACCCCGGGGCCGTCCAGCGGGGGCCTGGCCTCCCACAGTGGGGACACGTGCAGTGAGCAAGGTGAGAGGCACGGCGTGTGGAGGGCAGGCGCAGACACTGACCCTAAGAGGGACTTCCGGGGGGCCAGAGAGGCCGGGGTGAGGGTCTGAGCCACCCCTCCCAGCTGCTCCCTGTTAACTGCCCCCCGCAGGGGATGGGCTGGACACCAGCGTGGCCTCTCCCAGTTCGGGGGGCGAGGAGGAGGAGCTGGACCAGGAGCGGCGGCGCAGCAAGAAGCGTGGAATCTTCCCCAAGGTGGCCACCAACATCATGAGGGCCTGGCTGTTCCAGCACCTGGCGGTGAGAGCCGGGTCTGGGGAGCTGGGGCTAGGATGGGCAGATGGGGGTGAGGGGCTGGGAAGAACGGTCCCTGGGCACCTACAGGGGCCTCAGCTATATCTTCTATGTCCTCGCCTGGCCCTCCTGCCCGCCCACTTCCACCACTTCTGCTGACCGCCCACACCGACCTGATGGCCAACGGGGCTGTTTGTGTGTTTGTTTCCGTAGAGGAGGGAGCTGGGGTGGGGAGATCTGGGCTAGGTTATTGAGTCAGGAGCCATCCAGGGCCTCCACTGCTTCACCACTCTGCCTCGCGAGACAGACATGGACAGCACTGAGCTGTCGGGGGGTGGGGGGCTGGAGACAGGAAGGGGCCGGTCCCAGAGACACATGCAGAGCTTGAGGCAAAGATGGAGGCGGGGAGAGGAGCAATAGGGCCACCCCCCCAAGCCTGGCAGAGGCTCAGAGAGGCCGGGGTGGGCTGTGGGGTCCCCCGTCCCTCTCAGTCACTCAGAGAACTGGCCAATTACTGCCTAATTGCTGGAGGAGGCAGGGCGTGCCCCACACCTCACCAGGTGGAATTGCACAGAACCTGTAAAGTCCTTCCTGGCCTGGGGCAGGCCAGGCCTGGGGACCAGGCAGGCAGGTTGGCAGGCTGACCTTTGCTGGTGACCACAGCACCCGTACCCCTCGGAGGAGCAGAAGAAACAGCTGGCGCAGGACACAGGGCTCACCATCCTGCAGGTCAACAACTGGTGAGTGGCAGTGGGGGCGCTGTCCGCGGTGCTGACCGCCACCCTGGCCTCACCGCACTCACCTCCGCCCACCCCCCCCAGGTTCATTAATGCCCGCAGACGCATCGTGCAGCCCATGATTGACCAATCCAACCGCACAGGTACGGGGAGCAGGTGGTGGGCGCTGGAGAGACCCCAAAAGGGCCAGAGCATCTCAGCCTGCTCAGCCCCTCCTCACCCCTGCAGGGCAGTGCACGGCCTTCAGTGTCGAAGGCCAGTCTCTGGCGGGCCTCACAGAGACTCCACAGCAAGCAACGGTGCGACCAGGTAAGGTTCCGCCCCATCTTCCAGGAGGCTCCTTTGCGTCTGGGGGCGCGGGGATGAGGGGCCAGAGTGCCAGTACAGATTTCCAGGCCCCGCCTTTTCCCTCTGGCTGCTCACTTCCCCCAGGCTTTGCCCATCACCTCATGAAAGATGACCCCAGCTGTCCCCACAGAAGGATCCCCCCCATTCCTTGAATGAAAGGAGAGGGGTGTCTAGGGGAAGCCCCTCCCCAGCTCTCCCACCGTGCCTTACAGGGTCTGCGGGGATGAATCTCAACATGGAAGGAGAGTGGCACTACCTCTAGTGTGGGACTCAGGAAAGGGGTGAGTGGGCAGCAGGCCTGGGGTGACCTCCAGGTCTAGCACAGCCCCCAGCCCTGCAGGGCATCCCGGGGCCCCAAACCCAGGGTCCTTGGAGCCGTGGGGGAGAGGGATTATCCAGCTCTTCATCCATCCACGTGTATGTCACCTGTCTGTGTCAGACACAGTGCCACTCACCCAAATGCGCATCCACTCACTGGCCATGCGCTCAGTGCCCGCTCTTCACCGCCCAGTCCATGCTGATCCAGGTGGGTGCACCGAGGTGTGCATGAATTCAGCAGTCACTCACTGCCCACATATGCACCCGCCCACCCGGAACACTGCCCATCCCCTCCTCACCCACACTGACCCCCCACCTCACACCTGCACTGGGCTCTCGCGATGCCAGGGCAGGGCTGTGCGGTAGCTGAAAGCACAGACTAGGGTGGTCAGAGAAGGGTGTCATCACCTGTGGACCCTAAAGGAGCAAGGAGTCCAGTGGACAGAGGTGGGTTGAGCCAAGCAGTGACTGCATCTCCTGTGTAGTCCTCACAACCACCACCAGGGGGAGACCCCAGGTTCAGAGCCGACTTAGGGGGTTTGCAGGGAGAGGCCGGCCCAGCTCCCGCAGGAGGAGCCCTTGGTGGTTCCTCTGCATCCCATGCAAATACTGACACTTTGTGTCCAGTCACACGCCATGAGCCCCATATGCCTGGCTCAGTCACTGCCAGGACAGCCTGTGCCGGACAGGGACCACACAGGACAGGCCAAGGAGGACCTGCAGGAGCCCCGAGCGGGTGCAGGACCCAGGCTGGGAGGAGGGCTTCCTGGAAGAGGGGCTCCGACTCAGACTCTTGGGGGACGGGAGGTGTGTCATGTAGAGGGGCTAGCAAGGTGAACAGCTGAGCAGGGGAAGCAAGCATGTAGCTGGAGGATGGGATCAGGCTAGCAGGAAGGCCTGGGAGAGAGGAGGGGAGGCAGGCGAGGCTGTGGCCCCAGCCTGGGAAGGCAGTGGAGGGGCGAGCCAGGTGGGGAGGGGAGGCAGCTCAGCTCCCTGGGGGACCTGCTTTCCCAGCCCGTCTCTCCCATCTCCCCACATTCCATCTTCGGCTGTAGGGTCTCACCGCCCCCCTCCCTGACTCCCCAGACTCCCCGGCTGCGCATTCTCACTCTGTCCTCCCACCGCCCCGTCTCCTTCTGGGCTGCCCAGCCTCCTTGCTCCATCTCCCTCTGGATGACTGCATCTGCACCGAGTGGCTGACGTGGGGCCGGACCCCCCCCACCAACACCTCTGGACCGGGCCCCTCCTCCCTTCCCTGCAGGCCCAGCCCTGGACCGACCACGGCCCTCGGGCATCAGGATCCCAACCCCAGGGTACCCCCACTACTCAATGCCTACCTCCCTTGGGCCCTGCCAGGATATGGGGACCCAAACTCCCATTCAAGGGTCTCTCGAGAACCAAGCCGGACCTCCGGACCCACAGCCGACTCCGCCTTCACCTCCGCCCACCCTCCCCAGGGGAGCCCTTGGACCTGGTCCACGAAAGACAGCAACTGGGGCCACGCCTCCAGGATGGGGAAGGCTCGGCCGTGGGGGGAAGGCTCGGCCGTGGGGGGAAGGCGGCTCCCCCACCTCTATCTAGGGGAGCTCCTCCCTTCTCTGATGTCTTTTTTAAATTAGTATTAATGGTAAAAAGAAAACCACGAGGCCACCACCTGTGTTTCTTTGCTGCAGTTCCGATCCGCCAGGGTCACAGTGGTCGTGACTGTCATTTGTCCTCTCCCTCCTCAGCTGTCCAGGAGCAGAGCAGGGTGGCTCTGAGTGGCCGTGAGGCTGGGGGCATCTCTGGGGGACACGGGGCGGCCACATGGCTGTCATCACCCTAGACACTGCTGGTCTGCGCAGAAGGACTAGGCCAGCCACCACGGGCACGAGGCCAGTCCACGTTCTAGGACGGAGAACAAGGTCCTGGGCAGTGGTCCACTCTGCAACGCACAGGTCCCTGTAACCCCAGGTGCTCCCACAGTTTTTCTGTGTAAGGCCGCTGCCCCGGACCAGCGCAGGCCGAAACACAAGACCGCAGGATGGGCAGCTGTGGACTGCGCCTGTGCCAAGTGTCCTCTGGTGTCATTACACTCCTGCTCCCTTCAGGCAGGTTTCCAGAGGCAGACAGCAACTTGGGTGGTGCTAAACCCCGCCTCCATGAATATTCAAAAAGCACCTGCCCAAGCTCCAACCCCTATGCCTCTAGCGAGGGACTCCAGCACGCTCAAGCGAGCAAGGTCCCAATGCCCTGTGACCCCCACCCCTTGCCTCGTCACTCCTGCCCTGTGCTTCCCTGCCCTTGTCCTCACCCTCGTGCTGTGGCCTGCCATCACAGACCTGGACCCCGCTGTGGGTCAGTGTCTGGCCCCACCCTTGGTGAGACACACTGCTCTGGGGCTGTCCAGAGCTGTCCCCACGCCTGCCCTGCCTTGGCCTCCATCCCCACTGCTCTGAGGCTGAGGGAGGCTGAGCAGCTGTAGGAGCGGGCACCTGCTGGGCCCCAGGCAGCTGGGCTGGCTTGGGCCCAGATTCCCTGCGACCCTGGCCCAACGCACTGCCGCCTGGGTGTGCCACTCTCCACAGCTGGCCTGAGCGCTGGCTTCTCCCCAGATCCCCAAAGGCCTGCCAGGGGTGGATGACAGGGCTGTCTAGCAGGAAGGACTTCTCACAACCCCTCCCCTGGCAGGGCCTGAGGCTGCTTTGAGGGGCAGTACTACAGCTGGCAGAGGAGGGACATGGAGCGGGGGTGGGTACCGGTGAGGGCGGAGACAGCTACTGTCCCCTTACCTTCTCAGCCGCCAGACAAGCCTGACACTTAATTTTTGCTCATTAAACCGACTGGCCATGCCATGGAGGAGGAGGAGGGAAGTTGGGCAGGAGGTTAATTGTAGCCAAAAATACCTCCCCATTTCCCAGGGCTAGGGACCCACTACAGGGCTCAGCCTGGTGTGGGCGGGTGGGGACCGCTGGCAGAGGGAGTGGTGAGCTGCGATCACGGGGTGGGCAGGGTGTGGTGTGTCCCGTGGCTGTGCCTGGCACCGAGTGGGGAATGGCTGAGCCCTCCAGGAGCAGGTGTATCCAGGTGAGCTTGCATCTGTGACAATGACGCTTAGGCTGGTGGGAAAGTGGTATCCGGGTCCCTGAGGGCCTCTCCACCTGCCCACAGGTCACCTTGTGGGGCCCAGGGGCTGTGACCGAGCACCCTGACCATGGGGAGAGGCAGGCTGGGAGCTCCAGCCCCAGACAGCAGTGTCAGAGCCGCCACCAAAAAGGGTCTCGCTTGGAGTCAACGTGTAGCACAGTGGGTTAACCCTCCTGTCATACCTGATACCAAAGCAGCATCCCACGCGGGTGCCAGTTCAAGTCCCGGCTGCTCCACTTTTGAGCCAGCTCGCTGCTGATGCACGTGGAAGGGCGGCCAAGGACGGCCCAAGTATCTTAGGCCCCCTGCACCTGAGCAGGAGACCCAGCCGGAGCTCCTGGATTCTCGCTTCAGACCAGCTCAGCTCTGCCCGTTGCGGCCATTTGGGGACTAAACCAGTGAATGGAAGCTGTCTAACTCTCGCCTTTCAAACTAATAAATCTTTCAAAAATAACATTTATTTGAAACAGAAAGGGAGAGGATCAGAGAACTCTCCAGACACCAGCACTCCCAGTCCTCAGGAAGGTCGGGGAGCAGGTAGGGCCTGCCAGGCTGAGTCAGCGGGCATCGCGGCCCCAGGGGCATTCTCCCACTGTTGCCCACCCCAGGGTCCTTGCTCAGCCGGTCACCCACCCTCGGGGGCGTGCAAAGCCAGCCGGGGTGGCTTCCTGGACAGGAGTCGGTCCCACTGCGGACCTCTGGAAGGAGGAGTCCCAGCCTGGGCCAGGCCAGCTCACGCGTGCTGCTTCCGGTGTCGCAGCACCTCGGTGGGCGTAAACAGGAAGTCCTTCTGGCAGACCTCACAGTGGTAGGGCCGCTGCAGGGCCGAGGGCTTCAGGGTGGGCTCGGGGCCCGCCTCTTCAGCCCCTAGAGGGAGGGAAAGGGAGGAAGGCTTGAGAGGGGTATCCTGCTGGGTGCTGCCACCCCCATACCTGTGCCCGCCTTTGGGGAGTCTGCCCCCCAGCCCGAGGTGCCCCACGGTGGGCCCTTGGCGACGGACAGAAACAGACACGTGGCCAGTGCGGTGGCAGGGCGCTTGCCTGGGGCGCCGTCCTGTGGGGCCTGGGGACAGGCGTGCTCGTGGGCGATGCGCTCCAGCGGCGTGAGCGGCGCGTGTAGGCCGCACTGCGGGCAAGTCCAGAAGCTTCGCAGGCAGTCGCTGTACAGGTCGGTGTCACTCTGTGGGCAGGCGGGCAGGGAGTTAGGGGGTCAGGACCCCGCCCTGCCATGCCCCCGCCTTGTGGCCCTGGACCACGTCTGAACGTGAGGGGCGTCTTGCTCACCGTGAGGCAGTTGTAGGTGAGGAACTCGGTGACGGCGTAGCCCCCCTTGGTGGGGTGGGGGGCCAGGGTGGAGCTGCCGAAGAGGCCAGGGAGGCTGGGGGCTGCCGGGACGGTCTGGGGTCCCACGTAGAGGTTCTGCATCTCCAGCCCCGTGAGCCGCCGCAGGCTGTAGGGAAACTAGGGACGCAGCAGAGGGGGTGGACACAGACTCAGATGCCAGCCACTGCTGAGCTCCCGGGTCCGGCTATGCCTGAAGCCCGCTCGCCCTCGGACACTGCCAGCCTCACCACCCCTCCAGGAAGTCAGCCCACTTAAAGAGCTGGGTTCAAGTCTGTTCTGCTGGGTCATCCTCTCCTACACGAACACCCAAACTGCGCCTCCTTGGCCTCTGCAGGTGGCAGGGCCGGGGGCAGCACCTGCCAGCTGGGCGTGGTGGGCACAGCAGCAGCAGCCTCTCTGGCCTGAACACCCCCAGGCACGCCGGCCCCCAGTGACCTAAAGAGAAGCATTCCCGAGCCTGTGGCCTGCGAGAGGC